TAGAATAGAATAGAATAGAATAGAATAGAATAGAATAGAATAGAATAATAGAATAAAAGAATAAAGTAAAAGTAAGGTTTGAGTGGATCTGAGGAGAAAGTAGTAGCAACAGCCTTGCCTCTGCCCTGACCAGGAGTGTCATTGCACATAAATTGTTTCATTTTGTGATCCTGAGTGTGTAAAAGGATGGGCTGCATGGCTGTCTTGAATACTTTTCCTAACACCAAGATTATATATATATATAATATATATATGTATACATATGTATATATAATATATGTATACATATATATACATACATATACATATGTATATGTATGTATATATATGTGTGTGTGTATATATATATATATATATATATATATATATATATATATATATATCTTGAGGTCTGTGTTTAGGAACATTTATTTATTTAGGTCTCCCAAGTACCTGATAAGGAAAAGCAGATGAGACGGTGTTTAGATTGGGGGTGATCTGTAAAGTGTGGGAGCTTGTATGTACATGTGCCTGTGAATTGTCATCATAATGTTCACCACTTGCTTTCCTTCCACCTTAGAATGAAGTTTTACACAATTTTTGGAAGCGCTACCTTCAGAAGAGCAAGCAGGCCTATTGTAAGAACCCAGTTCGGCCAAGTAGAAGAAAAGCCAAGGTGAGCCATGGAGCCTGACAGTGTGGCAGAGACAAAGGTAGTGTTTGTGGCTGCTTGAGTCTGACTATGGTGTTTGTGGATTTCCAGGGAAGAGGCTTCTGATGCAGTTCAGAATGACCTAGGCTACTAAACTAGTTGTAACATAAAGGAATTAGAATTTATCTTCCTTTTGAAAGATTGTGTTTGTTTGTTTTGGTTTATTTATTTATTTATCTTGAGTCAGGATCTCACTTCATAGTCTAGGCTGACCTTGAACTATTGGTAATCCTCCTGCCTCAGCCTTTCAAGGGCTAGGATTACATCCAGATCATTTTATAGAGAGAACTTTAAGGAATTTCTTATTTGCTTTGCAGCATTGGGGTCAAACTCACAAGCTAGGAAAGCTCTGTCTCTGAGCTCCATCTTGTCATTTGGCTATTTAGTTTGTGGGGTTCATTTGTCTTCACTTTGATTGTTAGAATTTTTTGCATATGCTATTCTATTATGATGATGATAATGACTTTTTTGAGATAGGACCTTATTATTTATCTCTGGATGGCCTTAATTCAGAGATCCACTGCCTCTGCCTCCCAAGTGCTGTGATTAAAGGCAAGTGCCACCACCTGGCTTATTTTATTTAATTTTGAGACAGGGTCTTATGTATCCTAGGCCAGCCTTGCTGTGTAGTCAAGAATGACCTTGACTTGCCTCCACCTCCCAAGTGCTAGATTGACAGACATAAGCTATGGTGTCCTGTTTATTTGCAGAGGACTAAACGAAGGGTTTTGTCCATACCAGGCAAGCATTCTACCAACTGAGCTACATCCCCAAGCCCTGCATATACTCCTTTCACTTGGCATCCCTGCTACTTTTTCTGATATTTTAATATTCAGCCCCCTTATTTTCTCGTCTCAGAAGCTTTGACATGAAAGAAAGTCAATCTGGGTGCCTGTCAGAGGTGCTTTGTCTTCGAGCAGTTCTGAATTGCTTCAGAAGTGCTGTGGTACTTTTTACTTGAAGCAAAGAACAGTTCCATTGCTAAGAAAGGCAAGTGTCCTGACCACAGGTGTGGTCTGGTGAGTGGCAGCACCTCCAGGGCCCAGATGAGGGTATGAGTCCACGTGACTCACATTTGCTAGAAACTTGGGAGCCTGGCCCAGCATTTCCTTGTTTGCTCAGGTCCTCATAAGTCTGTACGTAAAGGTCAGTGATCCATGACTGAGAAGCTGGTGTCAAGATGAAAGGAATAGGTTACAGAGGTGAGCAAAGGAGGGGCCTCTGAGCTGCACATGTGTCCTCTGTGGTAAGGAACGAGTCCTCGGGATGAGGTTAGAGTAGTCAGATCATGCAGACATAGTTAGGGGAGTGACCCTAAATAGGAGATGATAAACTTAAACCAGCTCCTGAAACTTAATTTGAGTTAACTGGAGAAAGGAGACATTTGATGATGATAAAGTTATGGAGCACTAACCTGACTGGATACAGGAGCCACATGTTTGCCCAGAAAGCAAAAGGTGCTGCATAGTTTTATAGTGACTCTCTTAAAGGAAAAAGAAGAATTATTCAAAGTACTAAGACCGTGACCTTCAAATCTCATGTTGGTGTTTGTGGTTGCCTTTGTGTACTGGGATGTTGCCTAGTGCATGGAAAACAGGAATGAGAACCTGGGTTTCTCTGTGACACTTTAATCTCTTTAGACTAACTGAAAACTTACAGTCAGAAGTTTTATTTGTGTGAGTAAACACCTGGGTTGGCAGTATCACACTAAGTCCTGGTAAATAATTAAGAAGTGAAAGTGGAAGAATAGGGCTAAATCATATAATTTCTGTCACCCAAGTACAGCAATTCCCTTTTTCAAAAGGGAGAGAAAATTACATTTTAAATTAGAAATGGGTTTGGGTTGTTGCTCACAGAGAACTTGCCTAGCAGTGTCAGACCACAGGTTCCACCCTCAGAAATGTAGGTACCTCAGTAAGGCTGCAAAGCTTTCTTAGAGCTTTGGATGCAGCTGTTCCAAGAATTAGATAGAGTGGCTTGTATCTGAATCGGGTCCTACAACTTTTGAGCTGTGGATAACGACTGGAAACTTTCAAAACAAGCACACAAATGTATACAATGGGGCATTGGGAAGGGAGTTATGTAACCCAGAATGCCCATGGAGAACTTCCCAGTGAGATGAAGGGTCTCTGGGCATTGAGATTAACATGATGTGAGGAAGAGAAGAAATGCTGACCTTCAGGCCTCGCTGGGACCAACAGCCCAAGCCTACAGAGTGGTAGTGGGGTGGGCCGGAAAGAACACAGGAGATGTAAGTGGTAAGGCTGTAGAAGAGCTTTGGAGATAGAGCCAACAGGACTTCCTGATGGTCTAGATGTGGGGTGTGGGAGGCAGGAGTCAAGGATGATTGTGAGATTTTTGGCCTAAGCAGCTGGAAGGAAAGAATTGCCATACACTGACAGGGCAGGTGGGACCCAAAGATCAGGTTGGGTTTGAGATAGCTGTTAGACATCCAGGAAGAAATGTTACATATGTAGTGAGACAGATGAGTCTGCAGTTAAAGATAGGAGGTCAAGGGCTGGAGATGGCTCAGCAGTTAAGAGCACTGGCTGCTCTTTCAGAGGTCCTGAGTTCAATTCCCAGCACCCATATGGTGTCTCACAACCATCTATAATGAAATCTAATTCCTTCTTTTGGTATGCATGAAAACAGAGCACTCATAGCATACAATAAATAAATAAATTAGAAAGATTTATTATAAAAAAATAGAAATATAAAACTGCCAGTGTGCATTATAATCATCAAATCTAAAATGTTGTTTATAAGAATGTCCCTTCCTCTTTTAGAGACAAGGCCTCAGGCAGTCTCTGCTGGCCTCAGACTCAATATGTACCTGAGGATGACCTTGAACTTCTAACCCTCCTGTCTTTACTTGCTGGGATTACAGGCATCCATTACCACACATAGTTTGTGCAGTGCTGGGGATTGAATCCAGGGCTTCATGCACACTAGGCAAGCATCCTACCCTGAGGTACAGCTTCTAACAGTGTCTTAGGGCTTCTACTGCAGTGATAAACACAATGATCAGCAGCAGCTTGGGAGGAAAGGGTTTATTTTGCTTATACTTCCACATCACAGTCCACCAGTGAAGGAGGTCAGGCTGGGAACTTGGAGGCACACACTACGGAGGAGTGGCTTCATGGCTTGCTCAACCTACTTCCCTTTTGTTGTTATTTGTTTCACATGGAACATGTTCGCACTCTCTATGTGGCTTCAAGCCACCAGGACACAAGGCAGCTCCAGCACCCTTCATCTTTCCTCAGCTCCTTTGATGGAGAATGCGGCCTTCAGGATGACATGCTGCTTACAGAGCTTTCCCTTCCCCAGATCTTTCCAGTAGCCCGAATGCAGCATATCAGTGATAGGAGCAGCTCCAGCCTTGTTTGTAGCACTCACCTGTGTCCGCTCACTGAGCAGTGGCCCTAGTTTATCCAGGTTGACAGTTGGGTAGAAGCTCTCGTTTTTCTTTAAGTGAATGCCTCAGACCAGCTTTCCCAAAGTAACCTGGATGACATTTGTAGACGTTGTCCCTGTGGTGATGCATGCCTCCGGCATTCTCCTGCCTCTTGGGTGCTTGCAGTGCTTCATGATGCAGCTGTAGCTCACAAGGCCCTGGAGTTTCCAGGACTTCCTTAATCTGGATGGCATGACAGCAGCTGAAAGGAAAAAAGGAGGCATCCCTTTCGTCTCCCAGCCTACTTTCCTATATACCCAGGACCACCTGCCCAGGGGTAGCACTGCCCACAATGGGTTGGGCCCTCCCATATCACTCATTTTTAAACTGCATAACATGCTTGCCATCTCGTTGGGCATTTTCTCAGTTGAAGTTCTTCCTTAATGACTCTAACTTGGGTTAAGTTGACATAAAACTAGCCAGCACACCAAGATATTTCAACATTGTAAATACCCGTAAGAAAAGAATGCTGTGAATTAAACTGACATGCTAATGATTGTAAGAGTCACCTGAATTTCAGGGGTGTTAAAATGTGGGGTAGGTACATCCTAGAAGTAAAATACAGTAGCTATGATTGAAAACCCTAATTTTGGTGGATGTCACAAAGATAGACACAGAAGAGGACTAAAAACCTGAGCTTTGGGCCTTTCAAGTGTCATCTTAGAGGTATACTGCCTCCATCTGCTAATCTAGGCCTAGTCCTGGAAGCTTCTAGCCTCCATACAATCTAATCTAGGCCTGGAATGTTTTCAGCCTCTGAATAAGCTCACCCTTTCTTGTTCTTTCTTAGCTCTGGTTGGCTGGTTCAATTTAGCTGTTCTTGCTCAAACTCCTCTCCAAGCTGACTGATTCAAACTGGCTTCTCCTAGCCTCTGAATTGGCCTCAGATTAACTATAGCAATCTGTTTTAATCCGGCATCTACCTATTCTCTGGCTCATTTTATCTTCACCTGAGTCTAGTTTGTTCTCTCTCTGCAACCTGTCTATTACTGTCCCAGTAAAACTGCATCCTCTCTTCATTCTCTGTGGCAGTCCCTTAAGTAGCTTTCCTTTTTCCTCTTTTCTTATGAGAGTTGAGTATATCCTGTTCTGTCAAATCTTTCTGATTTGTCACTTTGTTTGCTACTCAATTAGACATTACTTTCCAACATGGGTGCTTCCTTCTACAACCTAAATTTACCCTCATTGTTTAAGATTGAAGGAGTGTATCACCATGCCTGGATCTAAGCATTTCTTACTTGAAATTTGCTCTGTACCAGGCTGGCCTTAAACTCAGAGATCTGCTTGCTTCTGTATCCTGAGATTAAAGGCTCATGCCACCACTGCCTGGCTTGTCTGCATTTCAGCCAGATCACCCAGACCAAGAAGGTTTTTGGATGATCTATTGCCAGAGCAGCCATGTTTTGAATTAAAATTCTTCTACAGAGTACTGTTGGGTAACAGTTCCCTAGAGAGGCCTCCCAGGTGTGGAGTATCTGAGACCCTGCCAGTTTGCTAGGGCAATGATGGACAGCAGCTGTTTAGAGCCACAGACGTTACCTTTCCAACTCAAGCAGTTTCTGTTTCTGTTATCTCATGAACAGGTATTGGAAGACAGTCTGCAGGGTTCAGACTGGGGCAGTGATCTTGAGCTGCTAAGTGACACCACCTGTCCCTTTGAAAGTGGAACAGAACTCCAGTCTGACCCCCAGATTCCAAAGTCTTTCCCTGCCACCAAAGGATCACCAAAGTCAGGTAAAAAGGAGAAGCAATCAGAATATGTAAAAAAAAAAAAAAAAAAAAAAAAAAAGTATTTATTGTGTGTGTATAAGAATGTACATGACAGTCACTGGCTGCTCTCACAGAGGATCTGGTTTTGAGTCTCCATTTCTCAGGGATTTGGTGTCCCCTCCTGGCCTCTGCAGGTACCAGACATGAAGGTGGTGCATACACACATACAGACACACATGCACAGAAATTAAAAAAAATAAATATTTTTAAAAAATGATGATTTTAAGCTGGGTGCGGTGGCACACACCTGTAATCCCAGCACTCCAGGAGGCAGAGGCAGGCGGATCTCTGAGTTCAAGCCTGGTCTACAAATGGAGTCCAGTACAGCCAAGTGTATTCACATATGTAGAGAGAAATGCAACGTTTTTTGTTTTGTTTTGGCTAAGGGGATATATAAATGAGTTTATGTTATTTTGAACTTTTTTTTCGAGAGAGGGTTTCTCTATGTAGTCCTGGCTTCCTGGAACTCACTGTGTAGGCCAGACTGGCCTCAAGCTCACAGAGATCTGCCTGCCTCTGCCTCACAAGTGCTGGGATCACAGGCGTGCGCTACTGTGTGCCCCAGTGCTCCACTAAAAGGTAAGATTTTAAGTGCACATAATTCAAATAGTTCTCCATGTTGTTAAAAAGAATCACAAAAAAGAGAAAGAAATTAGTCTACTGTTTTCACAAATGTTCTGTTCATAAGACATGTTCATTTTTACATTCATTTAGTAAAATACAAAGTAAGAATTCCTCAGGTAGATGTAGCAGAAAGGAGCTAGCATGGTGGAGCCATAATGAGACCTGTTGCTTTCACTGTAAGGGTCCTGCCACTGCAAAAGAGATTCTTCTAGAAGCAGGACACACACACACACACACACACACACACACTCACCCTTGTTTGCAGTCGCTCTCCAGGAAGTGTTGCTGGGTACTGTTGGGGAACAGTTCCCCAGAAAGGCCTAGTATTACATCTTGACTTCTAATTTGGAATAGTGGTTCCAAAGTTACCACCGTGGGGCCAGTGGCATGGCTTGGCAGGCTAAGGCACTAGCCACAATCTCTTGACAGCCCAGGACCCACACGGTGGAAGAAGAGAATCTGAGTCCTGAAAGTTGTTCTCTGAGCTCTACATGTGTGTGTTGTGGCACACACACAGAGAGACACACAGACACACTCAGAGATAGACACACACACACACACACACACACACACACACACACACAGGCTCCTCACTGTTGCTGGCATGTTGGGATTTCCCCGCAAGGTAGAATTCGTCAGCTTTCTGCTCAGATCTCACCTTCTTAAAGAGGTCTTTCTGACCACCTGCTCAAAAGAGCCATGCTGCCCCCTTCTCACCTTTGGATGCTCCTGCGTTGCTGTTTTCCTGGATAGCACTTTTCTCTGTCCATTGTAATTTTTGTTGATTACTTTTGGTAGAGTGTGAATTACAGGAGAGGTGAGACACAGTTCACTGTCATTTCCCCAGGCTTAGGGGAGTGGCACAAGGAGTGAGATAGATTCCTGTCTGTAGAATGAACAGAGTGTTAGAGGGCACCTGAGGGTGGATGGGGAGAAAGTGCTGCCTTCTTATCCAAGGGGTTTGGGAGAGGCCTATCTGCCAGGGACTTACACACTTGAACTTTTCTCTGTGATTGTTTATCCATTTATTTTTAAATGTTTTCGATATTTAAAAATGTGTATCTCTTTTCAGAATCTCATTCCACCCACTCTCACAGATAACCCTAATTGCCTGTTTGCCTGGTTTCCTTCTAGAGCCTTCATTGACCGTCGTTGCTAGATTGTCTATGCGAACTGAATCAGTTATAATCTACTTTAAATGTCTACTGTTTTGTTACTCATTTCTCTTTCTTCCTTTCTTTCTTTCTTTTCTTTTCTTTTTTTTTTTTTTTAATTTCACTGTGTCCCTGTATGAGCAGCGTATGTCTGCTCTGGATCTGTGGATGGAGTAGAGTATTCAGAGTGGAAGGAGAAGGGGATCGTGAAGATGACTGTGCCCCGGACACTTGCTCTCTGCTACCTGTCCTTGCTCTGGCAGAGAGAAACAATTACTCTTTCAGACCTTCTGAGGTAAGCGGAACTTACTTCCTGATCATTTCTTCCTGGTTATCAATGTGAACTTAGAACAGTCTTTGGATATTCTTAATTTTACAAGAAAGCCTAAAATGAGGAAAGGGCTGGAAAGCTTTGATAGTACATGGGTTACTTTTCTCATTGTTGTGACTAAGAACCTGAGAAAAGCAACTAACTTAAAAGAGGAAAGATTTGCGTTGACTTGTGGTTTAAGGGGATACAGTCCACCATGTGGGTGGTGGTGGGCAGCTCACTCACATCAGATCAGGAAGTAGAGAAAGGGGAATGCTACTGCTTTTCCTCAGTTTCTCTTATATTCAATCCAGGATCCCAGCCCCTGGCATGATGCCACCTGCATTCAGGGCAGATTGTCCCATAGCTAACCCTTTCTGGAAACGTTTCTGTAGACATGCCTGAGGTTTATATGTCTCCTAGGTTATTTCAAGTCCAATCAAGCTGACAGTGATTAGTAATCATTGTGTGTGGCTTGGGTTCTAATTCTTAAACTTAATTCCCCTTAAGTTTAATAATTTTGAGTTTTTACTGACATAGTGGAAATTGTAGCAAGTACTTCACATGAGATATTAGAAAGTTAATTATCTAATGTGGATAAAATACTTTAAAGAGAAAATGACATTAATATTCCTATGTAGAAGTCTTAAGTATTTTTCTAAGAAAAGATGAACAGGGAATCTTTTACTAACAAAATAGCTATTAGTAGTTATGTGAAACCATGATGTTGTAAAAACTAAACTATAGGCAGCCTATGTTAACTTATTAGGAAAAGTTGATATCAAAACTATAGAAAGACCCTATTATAGTGGTAATAAACATTTACATATTTCAAGGTAGTGTATAGAATTTTAAACAGGAAGAGTGGTCTAAGGAAGTAGACATTTGAGTTAAAGCCAGCTGCAGTGTCAGGGTTTATAACTAACAAGCTTTATAACTATACAAGAATCAGTCATTTACTAGGCAGACCAAAAATATTTATTCTCCTTTTCCTTTGTGTGTGTTGTTAATAATGGCAGTGAGTTTAACTGGCATATGGAATGCTTACAAGGCACGAGTTTGAAGCCACATTTCTGGTTCTGCCAATTCATTACCACATGACATGACATTGAGCAAGTCTGTAAATGTTTCTCTGCTTCTGCTTTCTTCTAGGTAAAATGGATCTGTAGTAGCAATGGCACCTTAGGGTTGTAAGTGCTTTGGCCCTTGGCATTGTGGGAGCACTTAGAGCAGTCTCTGGAGCATCAGGAGAGCTCTGGCTAGTCAGGATTGTTCAGTTTCCATCCTCACCATTATCGCTGTCATCATCATCACCATCGACACTTGGCCTTTTATTAAACAGAATGCCTCTAGTAAATGATGATAGTGCCTTTGATTGGGCATATTAACCAAATAACAAAGTTTTTTCTCAGGTGTGATCAGCTGCATACAGACCACTCGTGGTTCTGTGAACTTTACTCCGAGTTGAATGTTGCCTGCTTTGTGCCTTCACTAGATGACATCATCTTCTCCCAAGACTCTAATTATTATCTGTATGCTGATGACTCCCGACTATCACCAGCCCAGGCTTGTCTACTGAGGGCCAGACCATATATTCATCTGTATATATATATATATATATATATATATTCATCTGGACATGACTACTTGATGTCTTTATGGTTAAAATCAGTATGACTAACAAGTGCCTCACCATCTGTCTCCTTGGTCCTGCTCTTCTCCAGTGTTCTTAGCACGTGCTGTGGACCCTGGTGTTGTCTGTGGGGAAGCCTGGCGCTTCTCCTGGACTATTTCCTCACTCTATGTAGACAGCCTGTCCTTATGCCCTGTCACATATGCTTCCAATACAACTGTGTAACTCATTCTTCCCTCTGTGCCTCACCTCACCTGGATTGATTGCTTACTCATTTCTTAACTGAGCTCTGTCTTGGTCTTGTCATTCCTATCCATCTTCCAGATGATAATCAGAGGGTCTTTCAAAAAGATCCATAATCATGAGAACCTAATAGTGTCTTCAGAGCTGGTTCAAGGGGCCAGTTGTTCCAGGGCAGTCTGCAAGTGGGCAACAGAACTCTCCCAGAGATTTAACGATGAGAGAAAGTGCTTCTCTGAAGCTTTCCTCAGAAGAACACTGTTGTGCTTGAAACAGGCAGCCCTAGCCCTCAGTTCCTCTCTTGCTAACTCTTCAGTCTGTCTGTCCTCCCCCACACAGGTGAATTCTGAAATGCCTTCAAAGAGACTGGAGTGCAGATTGGAAGATTAGCTGGAGGGCTGTCACTGTGCTCCTTAGGGCATACAAGCTGGGGACAGAGCTGAGTTGCTTGGGGCGGTAGAAGAAGGGGCTGTCACTACTGCTCCCCGTGCTCTGCTTTTCCCCCAGAAAGAGCTTCAAGTCAGATCCGCAACCTGTCCCTCTTGACCAGCACCTCCAGCTTTGTCTGGAGACTGCAGGAGTCAGACTCTGGGCTGGGGCCTGTTTATCTCTCCTAAATAACCCTCCAGGAGGTTCTTCAGGGTGTTACAGTCTCAGAGTGGCTACTAGCTTTGAGAAGCTGAAAATCTATGGTCTGCAGAAGGCGGTTAGTCTGGCTGGAATACATATCTGCCCATCTGCCAGTTCTTTCTCTTCCTTTTTTTTTTTTTTTGAGACGGGGTCACTCACTGCTCACTGTGTGGCCCTGGCTGGCCTTTAATTCAAAGACCTGCCTGTCTGTACCTCCAGGTGTGTGTTACCACGCCTAGCCCTGCATATTTTACCATTGATTGTAAGCTGTGGTTTCCTTATTTATTTTTAGAGCAGCATCTTAGGCTTTAGGATTAATTCCTCTCCCTTCATATTTACTATAAAGGACCCCCCTACTAGTTGTAACCATAGAAGCTAACAACAGCCAACATTTATCATACAAATATTTGTTGACTATCTGCTGTACTTCCACAGTGTTCTAGAGTTTAGACACTTGGGAAGCACGTAAGTCAAGTTCCCACTCTCATGAGGTTGAAGACTAGAGGGGGAAAGAGATGAACATGAATAAAGGGAAAACTGATGAGTCACGCAAGTGCAGACCAGAAGGCTGAACCAGGATGCTGCAGAGGAGCTTACCTGGACAGCTACTTTCCATGATAACAAAGGGATCTGAGCTGTGCTTAGAGTCAGAGAGCAGCCAACCTGGGAGATCCCAGCATTCCAGGTAGAGAGGGGTGCCAGCCCTCAGCAGGGGTGGGCTCTGTTTGAGCCAGGAGTAGAAAGTGAGGAGTGGCTTGGAGGAAGAGAACTGGTGGAGAGAGGGGTGGAGGAGTGGGGGGAGGGGGAGGGCACACATAAACTGAGAAGTTAGTCAGACAGAGGTGAGTCTCTTGAGTCTCTGAGAGCCATGCTGGGGTCAGGAAGTTTTTTGCCTTTAAAAATTTTGTTTGACACTTTCATATGTATGTGTATATAATAAATGTTAGTTCTTTTCACTTTCAGTTCTCTCATTCCTTATAAATTAAAATTACTAAAGTGTAATTTACATATGATAAAAGTCTCAACCATTAAGAATATGCAGTCCCTTAGGGTTCCAGAGATGGCTCAGTGATTAAGAGTACTTCCTGCTCTTTCAGAGACCCTGAGTTCCCGGCATGCCCATGACATCTCACAATGCCTCTGAGTACAGTTCGAGGAGATTGACACCCTCTTCTGGCCTCTGTGAGCACCAGGCACATCTGTGTGTGTGTGTGTGTGTGTGTGTGTGTGTGTGTGTGTGTGTGTATAATATTTATAAAATATATAATATATATATTATATAATACAGATATGCAGGCAAACACTCATGCATAAAATAAATCCTTAAAAGATACACCATTTGTGTAAGCCTTTAATCCTCTGCACTGAGGAGACAGAGGAGAAGTTTTCAGTATATCCACAAAAATATACACCCGTCACTTTGATACACTTCCAGGATATATTTTCTTACCTCAAAAGTGCCCTGTGGGTTTTAAGTGCTGTAGTAAGCAGCAGGGAGACTGCAGCAGGAGCAACCATCTGAGGTGTCTTCATAAAGGATCACTCCCGCACCTGTGAGGAAGTGGTATTCTGTGCAGGGAAGGGAAACTGGGAGGCCAGTGGTCTTCTACTACACCTTATGCAAGAAGTGGTGGCTTGGATGATGCTCATGGTGAGGGGAATGGAAAAGATAAATGGGACAGGACTGTTCCCCGGTGCACACGGCTCTAATGTGCCATTGCTGTATTGGTCTGTGACCGAGAGGTGCCAGCTTGTTAAAGTCTAGTGTGTCTCAAATCAAAGCTTCCAAAAACTGCAGTAAAATTATGAGCAGAGAGTGTTTCCAGGAGAGCATGCAGATGCTTTTATTTGGTGCAATTCCTTTGTCAACAACTTCCTGGTTGACCCAGATAGGGTGCTGATAATTCCTACTGAGGGAAACGGTGTGGTAGAATTTTGATCGAGCTGCCATCCATTGGCAGGGGAAAGGTTTTCCAAAAGAAATTTCAAATTCAAGCAAACTTTAGAAGAGGTTAAGAACAATACTGTGAGTCATTGTTAAGACTTCACATACCTCAAGACCAGCTTGGGGTGCATTTCTGCCTCCCCAGACTTGCTTATCTTCTCTCCTCTGCCTCTGTAGCAGTGAAGGAGCCTCTCTGGTGGCCCTTGTACTCATGTTTCTCCTGTCCTGCCTGCCTGAATTGAGGGGGGCCAACTCTTCATCTCTTCTTACTCTCTCACTTCTAGCACTGGGCCTGCTGCTAGCATATATCCTCACATCTATCATACATATATATATGTATGATAACTATATACATATATATATAGTTATATATATAGTTATATATATGGTCATATATAGTTATATATTTATATATGTAATTGTTATATGTATATATACACATATGTCAAGGACTAAATAAATGATGCACATGTTAGCATTGGAAGTCTAGGTGTTTTTGAAGTGCTAGGTATGTACTATGTCATGAATATAATACTATTATGCCAATATTGTAGCTTACTAGGCATAGATACTTTATATATAAAATAAAGCAACTAATGGAAACCCAGCTGGGAGAGGTTTTCTTCTGTTTTTACTTTAAATATCTAACTCTCAAGTTTCAATAGACTAAAAGTTAGAGGAGTCACATTTTAATTTTGAAATTAAGTTTAGGTCAACACTTTTATTTCCAGGAAGCTGGTTACAGTGAGGCCAAGACAGAGCGTTTTGGGTATATTCTCAACTGGGTCTTATTTTTCTTGACAGTTGGTTTAGGAGTTTGCACAGGAAATTCTGTCATGCGCTTGCTCTTCTCCGTTTCTTTCTCTCCTTTGTTTTCTTAGCATACTGTAGGTTATTGATTGGCTACTACATCTTTTTTTAGCTAGAACACAAGATCTGTGGGAACAGAAATTTCACCTGTTTGGTTCACTGCTCTTTCCTCACATTGCTGACTATATGGTACTCTACAACTTTATTTGACTTGATGAGTAAGGTATAAATAAATGTTCTAGTCCACTTTTAAATATCTGGAGTTTTCTTCAGACTCAACATTTGACTGGAAATGTTTGACCTCCTACTATATAAAAGGCATTGGGATGAAAACCTTGATAGTTTTTTCATCAGCCATCATGCACTAGCTGAGAACAGAAGGGGAGACAAACAGGGACCAAGGGAGAGCTTCCTGAAGAAAGGATTCACAGGGTGAGCAGGAGCTAGTCATGTGATAGGAACTAGACATGGAAGGAATGCTACAGGAGCCTGGTGGTGAACTGGCAGATACACACTTCTCAGACACACTTAATGTATTGGTTAGAGTCAGGTAATCTGTAGACAGTCAGCCGACTGGTCTCCTGCATGGGTGCTGGGAACGGTAGTTTTCTCTTTTAAAATATGAAGGAGATAGAATCCACTGAGCTAATTCTTCCTTCCCTGTGAATGGGGAGATTTTCAGAAAGAGTTTACTCAGAGCAGTATGTAGCTGTCATTGAGACATCTTTCTGTAAAATGCAGGTTTGTCGAAGAGGACCGTATTCCGTACGTCAATGCCTTTCAACTTTTTCCAGAGGAGATGAAAGTGTATGGCCGTGACAAAGGCATCTTTACTACAGAGGTAGGTTATATTCTTCTGTTCGTTGCAGTGGCTAACACAATGACCGTACAGTTGTTTCTCTGGTCTCTGGTGCAGTATTTGATTTTACAGTTTTCAAACCTGTCTGAATTCTAGTTTCAGTAGCTGTGATTTCATGAAGTGTGTGTGTGTGTGTGTGTGTGTGTGTGTGTGTGTGTCCGTCCGTGTGTGTTTTAATTTGCTCGTGTGATGGCTCTAAAAAATGCAGTTCTGTTGCTGTTTGTATATGGAGTGGCCTCATGGGAGAGAAGAAAGTCATAGCCTTCTGTCAAGAGGCTGTGGCTCAAGTCTTCTGCTTGCGTTAGTTTATCTCCTTTCTGAGACAGGGTCTTACTGTGTCACCCTGGCCTTGAAATCAGCATCCATCCATCTCAGCTTGCTCAATGCTGAGATTACAAGCACATAATCTCCACAACAAAGGTTTCTGGAGAACAGATGGCAGGCTGCTGTCATGGAAGAGCAGTAAACACGGAAGAAGGTTATCTGAAATAACGTTGGGGTAAGAGCCAGATCCTGCCTGCCCGTCGGAGAAGTCTAAACTTCTTCCCAAGGCGCTTAGACCCCCTCCAGAAAGGCAGCCATGGTTAGGTGAGAGAGTGACATACAGCCTCAGAAAATGGTGTTGGGCTGACAGGGGAACTGGACTATGTGCTTCTGTACTGTTCTCTAGACCTGTTTCCTAGTGGGAATGCTTCTGCCCTTTAGCTGTGTGCCTTTATTAATGTTAGTGCACTTAAAGTTCCTTTCCCTTGATTCTTTATTAGATTCTTGTGAGTATGCTAAATATTAATATTAAATATTTTCTTCAGTTTCCCACTTAAGGCATTATTGTCCTAGGCTTTTGTGGACTGTCAATGGCACTGCAACTTAAGAGACATCTATGGAATGCATGCCATTGGTTTCTGACTCCAGTAATGCTTGTGGCAACTTAATAAGTCAGTGTAGCTTACAAGACCTGAATTTAGGGCTAAACCATTGTAACTTTTCTACAGCCTTGTATAATGGGAAAATCATTAGACCTGGGTCTGGACTGTGTCTCCTGTATGAGAAGTCTTCTGTGCCATCACAGTTTCTTAGTCTTTGGTGAAAATGACAGCTAAAGAGGTCGCAGATCTTTTCTTTCAAAAGCCACTAGTGAACAACACTGTCCGAAAACCCCCAAGATCATGAGTCTTCAGAAATTGACAAAAGTGAACAGTGCATTGAGAAGCGTTTGCATATACAAAACAAAAACAAAATGTCAGCAACAGAAAACTGTCCAGAACTTGGGTGAAAGCAGTGAGTCTGGAACATTTTTACCTGAGGTTGCTCCCACCTGTCACCCAACTTAGCCCCAGATGGTAGGATGGTGTTGCCAGAGTGTGGCTGTTACCATTAGCTTCATGGCTGGAGAGAAGCAGGGCCCCCATGAAATAGAGAATTCCACAGGAAATGTTGAGAGAAGGCCCACATCCTACTGACCTGAGACTGCCCGCTGATAGGTGAAGCAGAGGTACTGCTAAGTTACTAAGGAGACAGCCCAGATCCTGAGCAAGTGTCTCTTATGATACCACCATGATGGTGAGAAATTGGCATCAGTCAAAAGCTGATGTCTCATATCAAACGTTAAGGTACAAACTGTCACATCTATCGCTGTCTCTAGATATTTTTCTGTCATCCATCTGTTGTCTAGCCATTCATCTATCTTTGTTACTTCACTTTTATTGTTCAGTTTTTCAAAGGTAGATAGATTCCCTTCTTCAGAATTAGAATTTGAGGCAGAAGAAATAAAAAAAAAAGATTAGGACCAAATAATCTTAAGATTTTTTTTCCCTCAGTTAATTCTTTTAGAAAATACTTTTCTTTGTTCTGTCACAGGTATGTAGGCTACCTAAGTAATTCATTATTTGGTAGTTCGTGGTGGGGAGAACCTTTTTGTGTTGTGTTTATTATTAAAAGATTAGTGAGAACCACACAAGGAGAGCAACAGAACCAGAAAATTTGAACACAGGGAATATCCCAGAGACTCATACTCCAACCAAGGACTATTCATGGAGATAACCTAGAACCCCTGCACAGATGTAGCACATGACAGTTCAGTGTCCAAGTGGGTTACATAGTAATGGGAAGAGGGACTGCCTCTGACATAATCTGATTGGCCTGCTCTTTGATCACCTCCCCCTGAGGGGGAAGCAGCCTTACCAGGCCACAGAAGATGACAATGCAGCCACTCCTGATGTGATCTGATAGACTAAGATTAGAAGGAAGGAGAAGAGGACCTCCCCTATCAGTGGACTTGGGGAGGGGCTCTCGTGAAGAAGGGGGAGGGAGGGTGGGATTGGGAGGGGAGGAAGGAAGGGCTTATGGGGGGATACAAAGTGAATAAAGTGTAATTAATAAAAAAAAAGATTAATGAGGAGGAATCAGTATGATGCAGACTATTTGATGGTGGTCTCACTTTTCAGAAAATCATTTCTATTCAAATGCCCTGTTATATACAAGTTGAATCACATCTTGTCCTATGCTGGCTTATCAGTGTTGATATCATACAGACAGAATTTTGAAAGAATTCCAGTATTTCATGTGTCTCTGAAGTTTATCAGGGGAACTGATTACAGTTTGTTGCCAAATCAGGGTGTAACAGGACTGTAGTGTCCCATCCCCTTTACCCTAGAGTTTTAGTTAACTGTGGTCAGCATAGTATAAAAATATTAGATGAAATTTTCAAAAACTTACTCAAAAAGTTTTGAGAAATATAATGGAACATGGTGTGTTTTGAGTTCTGGGTGGTGTAATGGCCGTCCTGTGTGCTGCTGCCGGGATATGAATCATCCCTCAGTGCACCTATGAACGCCCGGGGTGTGACCTGCCCTCTCAGCACTTGGCAGCCATTTGGTTATCAGACTGAGTGTTCCAGGCTCAGCCACAGTGCCTACATTCAGTAAACACTAATGTGCTTAAATAAGGACCCATGGTACCGGAGTGGAGACGTCAGCAACTCCTATGTGCCCAGGAGTGGCTATAAACTGCTGCCTTAAAGGGGAAGGCCAGCTCCATTTACATCACTGATTTATTATTTGAAGTAGGTGGCGGGGGAGAGTATGTGCATATGAGCGCTGCTATCTGAGGAGGACAGAGGCATAGGGTCGCCTGGGACTGCAGTTAGAGGTGGTTTTGAACTACCTATGTAGGTGCTGGGAGCCAAACTCAGGTCCTCTGGAACAAATAACGACATGTGCTCTTAAGCATTGTGCCATCATCAGCCCCGGCCACTTCTGTTATTGTGTGTTGCTGATTGTTGCTCATTATTAGTTACTGATCTCCATTGCACTAATTTTTGAATTGGCCATCTCATAGATGTGTGTATGCATGTAGAAGAAGGAAATACATATAGGACTGGGCACTGCTTGGGAGGTTCACACATCCTTTAAGGATTTTGGAATATATGCCCTGGGATTACTGTAGTTCATAATGGAAAAAGAAAAAGTCATTGATGAGGATGAGTGCAGATGCTTTTTTTGCTAGAAAATAATTCCGACAAGAAAGTCAGTGTAGGAAGAGGATCAGGTTTAGTGGGAGTATGAGGAGAACAGGAGGCGGTAATTGAGGGAAATGATAAAAATACATTGTCTGTATGTATGAAGGTGCTCTAATGGAATCCATTATCATGTGTGATAAACAGATGCTAATAAAATGCTTAAGGTATATTACTAGAATCTATCAAGTAATTTTCTCTTATCCAGCAAAACTGGATATATTCACATATTCCTTTTGTATACATTTATTTCTTCTGTTTTTGTGTGCATTACAATAAACCTATTTATTCAGGGCAAAGAAATACATTGTTACTACAAAAATCACTCATGAGATTATATATTGGGTAGAGGAGCCTTTTGCCAAGCCTGACAAACTGGTTTCAATCCCTAAAACCCATATGAGACAGGGAGTTAACCAGTTCCCTCAGCTTGTCCTCTGACTACACACACATACTCTCTTTCTCTCTGTGTGTGTCTGTCTCTTTCACACACACACACACACACACACACACACACACACACACGATAAAAAAATAAGTGCAAAATCATGCCATCTAAAATGTTACATTTAAATAAAAATTCTTTAATGGCTTATTTTCACTTTTGAAATTGTAGTCACTTTTTTTATTTTTTTATTTTAGATTAATGTCTTCATTTTCTGTCAAGGTTGTTGAAGATACTGTATCTGTGAAGAATTGAGCTTGTAATATTTTTGTGGGGTACTAATTTGGAAGCATTGAACCAGATGAAATTGTACGACTAGAAAGGCAAATAAATAAACAGGCCACGTCATATGATTGACAGCTCAGGTCATTAAATACTAGCAGCTTTCTGCATCGAGTTGGGATGCCAGTGAGGGATTTGTCTAGCATATGACATTCCTCAGCCCCAGTGTCTCCACCTCAAAGTTCAACCAAGCCTGGGAGGGCAGCCCCTAAAATCTTGGTGAGCAGGAAGCAAGCTTGGAGGTGAGGTCAATCCAAGGGCTGCCGTCCTTCGTCACCATTTTCCATCATGCCAGGAAATATTGAGTGTGTTCCACATGTGTGTGCACTTATGATGGTGAATATCCAGACAGCTTGCAGAAGCGGAGTGTGGCTGCAGCTTCTACTTGACCTAGAGAAAACAAAACATGATAATAGTGGAAGTCGTTATATCTCAGGAGCTCTGGTTTGAAATGCTTTACAGTTGATTATTTATGCCAAGCCCATGAGGTATGCTTAACAGTCGACTCTGACAGTAGTTAGTAACTGGCCTGGCACGCTGAACATAGTTTAGGCCCGCCAAGGCAGGCCTTAGTTTGGAGGACCGTAGGAATCCATGAGTGGTGAGAGGAGAGCTGGGAGGAGGTAGAGATAGGATAGTGATGTAAAAGGGAGTTCCAGCCTGACTGCTGAAGCCAGTCTCGACCCTGAGGCAGAGATGGCACTAGAAATGAAAGGCCTGTGACAAGGACTAAGCTTGAAG